CCTTCCCTTTACACAGTAATATAACGAGCTGAAATAACTAATCGGCTGAGTCGAACCTTTACTGCAAAGAGACACGCCACAGAAGAGTTGTGCTCATCGACACAGACAGACTCAGACTGCAACATGTTGGCAATCTACCATCCTAACTTTACCCTAGTGTGACTGAGCCATTATGCATTATTGCCACTCACTTGCAGAGACGAGGTCCATATACTGGCAGATGGCGTGAAGCAGCAGCCTCTCAAAGCTGATTGACGAACACAAACAACAGAAATGTGACAGTTATTAACCCACTTGATTCAAACTGACTACGTTTGTGTAGTGTACAAATTTCCCCGCACATCTCGACAAAGGGAGACTGTGTATTCACCACCGGCTGTAAGCTATTTTCTCCTGTTCCTGTTGTGTTCCTGTCGCTATGGTGACAGACGATAAAGACTTGATTCAATCTAATACAGCAGGTTTACCTGCATGTTTTCAACCTGCATGTTTGTCAGAACAATCCAAACAGCAGCATTGTTGAGATGAGATTAATTAACACATTAATGAGGTGCCAAAGCAATGCACTGAGGATCACTAGGTTGTAATTTGCTCAGATTTTACTTGACAAATGACATTCCACTGAGCTCTCCAGACCACTTCCCACAGGTGTAATTCCACTGTCCATTATCAAAGTCTAACCAATTAAAGACTAAAGTGAATGAAAAGCTTTTGAAGAAGCACAGACACACCAACTGAAAGAAGAGGATTTCTACCTGCTGCTGAGGTTGGTTGTGTAAACTGAGTGAGGTTGAGCGTTGAAGAAGCTCAGAAGGTTTTCCTCCAGAACTTCCAGCGTTCCCTGAGAGAAGCAGAAACCACAGATCTCACAAAATTCATAGTTTGTGTTTGGGAAAAATACTAAACTTCAGCAGGCGATCTCAGGGAGTCCTGCTCTCATGTCCCTGCGCATCATCTTTGTCCCTGATAATGATTAGGAGCATCTTATAATTTCTGATTTTCTTCAGTGTTTCATTGGGCACATTCATACAACAGAAGGCTAATGAACATCCTCTTTTTCACAAATTTCAAACATTATATAAAACATAAAAAAATAGGAAGATTAATCAATGAGGAAATAACTCTTGCAGCACGAAGCCACAAGCAGATGGGTCTATTAAGAGGACCTGCCAGTGGTGGTTAAGAGATAACTGGCTCTACATAAAACTAACATGAGTTGAACTTACTATCCGGTTGTTCAGTCTGACGTCACTAGCCGTGTCTGGGTCTAAACTCCGCTGCAGGTCCATATATCCAACGAGCACTATGGCATTACTGAGAGTTGAAAAACTGTCTAAAGTCTTTCATCTTTAATAAAATGATCAGCGTTCTGCTCTACCAGGTGTAACAATTGAGTTTAACATCCAGGCATCCATGAAAATGGAATTTATGACATTTAACGGAGTTAGAAGTTAGCAGGGAGTTAGCTCGCTAGCTTCTATCTAAATACAATATAGCATGTCCTGACTGCGGGGTTTTGGAAACAAATTAAAACGTACAGCTCTGTTATCACTTCCAGCATAAATGAAGACAGAAAACTAAACAGCAGTGACGTTTGTAGGGTTACTGAAGTTTGGCTAGCTGGTATATAATGATGTGCTACGTAACCGCTAGCGACACAGCTATGTTAGCATAATATAAACAAGCTAACTTTTTTTCCACTCGATAAAAGTTAACGTGAGTGTTCTCGGTGGTGAGGAACAAATGTAATCGCATGGCAGGATGCTGTAAAAGGACCAAACTTCAGCCAGGAGAACAACTGAGATAATCCATCCACAATAAGAGGTTAGTCATTCATATACTGCTGCATGGGCTGGGCTGTAGTTACATCCTAAGGTTTTAAAAACTGAGCTTAAATAAATGATTAGCGGTAATAAAAGCCGAGGGAGGTCAACAGTGATCGCTGACTGTTTTAGGAGCTTTTTGAGATTAAATAGAAGAAAATACATAACATTAAACATGCTAACAACACAAAAGCCATATTAAACGCAGACTACTTTAGGCCCGGAAGTAGGATTCGTTGCGTCATCACTGAACAACCGGATTGGGGCTGGGCGATATGGCCTAAAAATCCATATCACGGTATAATTTGAAGCATGTGCGGTAATGATATATATCACGATATATTATTTTCTTCTGTATAACGTATTTTACACACTATAGGGCACACTTAAAATCCTTTAATTTTCTCAAAAATCGACAGTGTGCCTTATGTATGAATTCTGGTTGTGCTTACTGACCAAAACAGGCGCAGCTTGTTGACACCAACAAAATGTGCTTTCGCGGTAGAGCGGTATAGTCAAAATCTCTACCGTTGGCCAAATTAATATACCGTTTATACCGCCCACCCCTACTTACTATAAAGACAACGACTTCAAATACATGAGTAATGCAATCACTGACCAAACAGTGAGAGATTTGAAGCAGAGAAGACACTCACCATGGGGATTTGTTTCCGCCTCAGAGTTGCTCGCAACCTGCGATCAATTCTCTGGAAGCAGTCCTGAGCAGTGAAGGCAGGATTTACTGCAGAGAGAGACGACAAAGTCAGACAAACAGCTTCACTTTAAAGGCTCAAAGGGTGAGACTTACCATTCCTCTGGTCTTTGAGGAGCTGGTTGGTGTTTTTCTTCTTGGCCTCCTCCAGCTCCAACAGAGAGAGCAGCCTCTCCTGCTCCTCACCAGAGCAATTCATGAAGTCGTTCCACGGCTAAAACAACAACAAGACAAGAAATGACATTAGTCAGCGTTCCTGATCTTCCTAGGTGGTCTTCAAAACCCCGTGCCCTGTGAGACCTCGCACAAGCCAAACCACACAGTTTACATTTCTTTGGACACACAAACACGGTTTTTGGGCGGCAGTTTCCTGTGGGACCTCTCAGGTAAATATTTGCGCACACAGTACATAAAATTTGAGAACATGACACGGTGAAATTATAAATCTTTTCTTAAGCCGTTCGCACTTTTGCAACAAATGCCACTAATTTGTGTACCTCTACATAGTTTCCATTGGTGCAGACTTCATAGAAAATGGATGGGATGGCTGGGTTGCTGCAAACCTCCAGATCGTCTTTGGAGCACTCATCTTTCTCAAGGAGATTAGCAAGGTAGCGTGCTAATTTTCAAAGGAGAAGATTAGAGAGAGATAAATGAGCAAAGCAATGACAGGTTTATGACTTTATAACTAATATAAACGTTTTTCTCATCCTCTAAGGTATTGAAGCCACTGACGTCAGAATTCTTTGTAAAAATGTTGCCCAGCAGCCTCGGGAGCCTCAAATACATCCTATAAAACATTTTGAACTTGCACACAGAGACTCTTCCCCAAAGTAATCCTTTCAATGCTTTCCCAGCATTGCTCAGTCTGCAGTCTCTGACGCCGTTCTTTTAATTTACGTAAAATGAGAGCTTACTGTTCTCCTGTCGGCGGAGGCTCTTCTTGCCTTTGGCCCTGGGTGTGAGGTCAGAGTTGCGGATGGCTTGGTTGATATAGAACTGTTTCTTTTTGGTGGGTGACACTCGCTTGGCAGGAGAGCTAGGCAATGAGGTGCATTTACGCTCCTCTACCAGGCTGGAAAAACAGAGCACAGTGGATCAGTTTAGTGAGTTTGAGTTGATATATCTTTCAGAAAAATTTCCAGCTTCCAATCTCAAAATCTGATTGAGTTGTTGGAATTTCAAGGGAATCAAGTCAGCTTACTTGTTCCTCAAGCTGCTTTATTTAAACCTATTCAAATGCTCAGATGTGAAAGTAAAAGCAAGGTGTACCCTGTAACAGGCCCGGTTCACAGAAGCCCTTAGCAGGATAAACACATATAACTGACTATTTACTTATTTATTGTGTTACAGCCTTTCCTGCACAACACCTGGTACAGGTGCACAATAATAATTTCACCCTGAAACGACATGTAATAACAGCTGTAGTAAAAATCTATTGAAATACGCATATTTACATGGATGGCCATGTAATCACCTTATCTGAGGAATAAATAAGACGAAAGCATATAGATGACATTTATCCTACTAAAACTGAAAATACACCCATGAAAGCTGCAGGTTTTTCCCTCCTCTGGTTTCTCTGTGTAACTGGGTCAGAACAGAGCAGAGCATCCCACAGCAGCTTCAGATGTAGGTCAGTGGGTGTCTGTGTGGACCGCCTCTGCTGGAGCTTCTTCCTGTGAGCTCAGTTGTCAACATGCTGATGCCATTTTTAGCCTGAGCTCTGCAGGTTATTAGCAACATAATATGATGTAATCTGTGCCTGGACTATTTAGGTTCGCCCATTCTCTCCCTCTGGCATCCAAACCTTAGTTTAATAAGTAAGACCTAACGAAACATGTTTCAATGCAACCTTAAAAACGCGTATTAGTTATTATGGTCGGTGTTGCGATTTCTGGCTTAAAACAGGATTTTGAACATTAGAACCGCCTCTCACCTTTAGACTCCGCTACAGGAAGGCTAGTTAGGTGCTAAAAGGCTAACAAGGACAAGTGTTTAAATTGCCCTTTAACTCTTAAATAACCAAAACCAACAACAGAGTGTATTGAAATTTTTATGTGCAGGAAACGTTGCAATACAACTAATACAAGCAACGACTCCTGAAAATAAACCTAGCTATTTATGTTAATATGACTTATTTTACCGGCTAATAACTAGCCAGCCAGCTAACGAAACAGACTCGTATTTTTGTTTTTTTTACTCACATATAATCCTGTTCTTCATTGCTATTTGTCAAAACGACCATCTTATTCCAGAAAAAATAGGCGGAACGATCCCACTGTCTGTATCTTTACAGATCGAGAACAAAGTAAATCAATACAGTTGACACAAGAAATATAAAAACCGGACAGATTATCAGGTGAGCAGCTAGCTGCTGACTGCTAGCTTGACAGTAGGCTGTTGTCTTTTCCACAAACAAAGAGAGGAAAACACCGAGAGCACTCACTCCGTCCATAGTTTGTAGTCTCACATGACTATAAATGAATACAATACATTTGGAGGACAAATCCTTCATAACACAAGACTTCAGGATGAATGATAAAACATGGACCATGAATTTGTTTGGAAACATTTTAGTTTTTAAAACATTCGTTGATGCAATAGAATGTAGAAATAAGCAAAATTTATCATTGTCCAGTGAGTATCTGTTTAAAACTGAAGCATTCACTTTAACCTAAAGGTTATAATTTTAAGTGCATATGATTCTTAACAAAGACATTTGAAAGCAGCTGAAAAAAAGCTTTCAGATTTATTTCTAAGAAAATGGTTTGATGTTGTTGTTGTTTTTAAACGTCTCCTTAGTGGGTCATTTTGCATCTTTCTCATAGACGATCTTTGCTCCACCTCAGCAAACAAGAATTCCTGTCATAATTTCTGTAAGCGCCTCCATCATCTGTAAAACCCTCCATGTTGGAGAGCTTTGAGCTCAGGCATTATTCCTGCTTTGACTTTGGTTTCTTTCTTCTTAAAGTTCAGGTGACAGCAGTTTGTGTGCTCGTTACCATAACAGCAGATTTAATGGGCCAGCCACAGAGACCTCCAATTGTTCTCAGTATTTCCCACTGCTGCTGGAGAGAGAGGAGTTCAGCCTGACAGATCAGAGAGGGAAGCTTTTTATGCAATAAAGTTTTGTGGGATATGTCTGAATAATTTCATAGGAGGTGGTCAAAGGTGTTTTTATGTATATTTATTAAGTGAGATGGGGAAAGAGAACAACACAGTGATAGTAAAACTAGAACCAGGTTTCCCACTAAATATAGAAGCAAAGAAGCAATTTCCCAGGATGAGCACAGTGAAGTCAAAGAAGAGGATAAAGAAGATCACATCGGACAGCAGGTCCACCACAGATAAGGACGGGACTACATGTGAGATATCAGGGAACATAATGAGGATTTGTGTCAACTTAATGCCGGTTTTAACCTTGGCTAAGGAGACTGAGCAGGAGGAGGAAGACGAGAAAGAAGAAAGCAACACCTCCATGAGTCGACAGGAAACAGAAACCAGCAGCAGAGACCCATCTGTCAGCAAACTAGTGGAACAGAAACAAAACGCATTTGACCTCCAGTCAGGATTAACCTCAGAGAGAACAACCAAAGCAAGACTCTCACTGACTTCTCCATTTCTGCCGCCGCCTATAAGCGAACCAAAACCATTTGATCAGAGCTCAGGCTGTCTCACTCCTCTGCCTGCCATCACTGTGCATCAACAAGCAACAACCAGCTCTGCAAAGCTTGGAGCAGAAGGCTTTGGAGGCAGTGGAGCAGTTACAGCGCAGGCTTCAGACATCAGGCCCTGGATAGACAATCCCCTGTTCTCCAAGAGTGTGAGTTAGTTTCAGATCCATTCACTGGGACATTTTCTGAACATAGTGGTTCCTGTCCTTGATGGAAGTGTATTAAACATTAAAGAGGCAGTCTACTGATTTAGCACAGGTGAAGGGTTGAGGGGGAGCACCTCTCAGCCTGTAGAAATAGTAGATGTTGAGCATCAGAAAAGAAACACAGCATGTAGCAAGCTGGGACAATGTCTAAGAGAAGTTGGCAGCTTAAAGATTGGATTGTGGGAAATGTAGGCTTCCAGTCAGGGCTTATTTAGCATGAGCATATGCCCATCTTTATATGGGACTGCACAGCATTTTTATTCTTTGTCCCTCCCGCCCCACAGCTTCAGACATTGTCCCATATTTTGAGTTTGTTCTTTTCTGTGCAGAGATCGGCTGAGGTTCAGCTTCCTGACATCACCTTGTCCAGCCTGAATGCACTGCTGCAAACTGTCACATACAGACTGAGGAAGAAGAGGAGAGGGGCCGAGGAAGGACTATGGAGACAAGACCGGACTGATCAGCTCCTCGTGGCCTTTACAGATCAGAGCAGTGTCGGGCAGCAGGATGGGAAGCGGGGCAGCGTGTACGTTCGATGGATGTTACAGTTTCCGTTAATCTTCAGGGACAGCAGTCTGTCCAGTTAGATAGCAGCAACAATAAGACAATAAGGGGATGTGTTTGTAGGGGATTTTCTCTAGTTTTTCCTCTACTTTATAATTTCATGTCCTTGTCACTAGTGGTAGCATGAGACAGTACCTACACATGTAGTCAAACTCCTTCAAGATGTGGTCAGAGGTTTTGCTGTCTCTCTCAATACAGTTTCAAGACTGAAGGAAATACCAGGAGATGGGCCTTCGCACAAGGAGAGCTGGACAGGGCAGTAGAAGGGCAGACTATTGTCTGAAGTGGGACAGCACTGCCACAGCCCCACAGAATGACCTCCAGTGAGGCTGTTCACAGGCAGATTTTTCATCAAACTGCCAGAAATGCAGTCCATGGGGCCCTGATGTCCTGTTCTCACAGTCTAGCACCCTGCAGCTTGACTGGCCTTCATCAACGATATGCCTGCTCAGGCCATTACTGACCCACTGTAAACCCGGGACTGCTGGATGATGTTCCTTCAGGTCCCGCTGAAGGACATCAGGAGGTCACAGCATCCTCATGGAGTTGCTTTCATTTGTATCAAACCAGGAGGATTCACAGTGGTTTCTGCTTCCTAACTGGACACACTGGTATCCCTGAAATTTAACTGATTCTGTGTCACACTGTGATGATCGAGCATTCCCTTAATTTTTTTTAAATATACTTTATTTACCCCAAGAAGTATAGGGATGTCTTCTAAGTGCTGATATTTGTGTCGATTATTTCTTTAAGAAAATTATTTTTTTTATTGACTTCAGTACTACGTAATCCACAGAAACTATTGACAGTCAGTGACACATAAAATCATGTCAGTTAGTTAAATTTAGTGTTAATACTCCAAGCTGAACTGAACAAATATTATCACAAGAGCAAGTTTTATGCAGGTTTCGTGTGTGTACACGTAAATATCTACACCAAATAAACGGTAAAATTTGATTCTACATTTTTTTCTCCTTTAAAACAGACGAGCTGGAAAAGACAGATCACCTGGTGCCTGCAGAGTAAACAGACAGATGAGCCTCCCTCCACTTCATCCTGCACCCAAAGCGCCTCTCATCTTCCTCAGGATGGTGCAGCCAAACCACCTGACTGCTCAGACGCCGCAGTGACTCAACAACCACACATAACTTGCAGATATTTTTAATTTTTTCAGAACACCAGACATTCTTTTAAGCTACCATACTTCAAGGAAATAACGTACATCTTACAGCTGATATTCAAGTAGAACAGCATATTCATTCCAAAATGAGACATCCAGCTTACAGTTTCAGTTCTGCAGTATTTCAGGGCATTTTAGTATAATTGTTACTCTTTTATTAAACATTTTCTGCCTTTTTTCCAGAGTTAGACAGGAAATATAAGAGAGGGAGCTGGGAAATTACAGCACGCAGCTGTAGAAGCCTTTAAGGTTACACTACATGGACAAAAGTATTGGGAGTAAGTCTGTACTGTTGAATTAAAGCAGCTAGCATGCCGTCTGTCTTTACAAAGATTCCCGAAAGAATGTGCTGTTGGAGAGAGCTCACTGAAATTGAGCTTGGTGCAGTAACAGGACGCCACAGCCGCAGTTTGTGACATTTCTTCTCTCATAGATATCCCACAATCAGCTGTAAGTGGAGGAAGTGTTTGAGAATGACAGAAGGTCAAACTCCAAACATGGCTTTGGTTTCCCTGGCTGCTCCACTACTTTTATCCATGTAGTGCACGTGTGCTAACCACTCACCCGTCCAGCTGCCCCACATTGTTAAAAACAGGTTTCATTTTGGAATGACATCCTTCTGATATGTCAAGTTTGTCTCATGCATGCATATATATATATATAAAATATGCCATTACAGTACGGTAACATTCAGCAGCCAGTGTGTCGTTTGTTAGAAAGAAACAAACACATAGTTCAGAATGAAAACAGTTGTTGACTGAAGGCAATGTTTTTGTCTCACTGATTGCTCTGTTTTGTTAAATATTCTTTGATTGAACGTGGAATTTTTGGCATATTTGACATGAATTTAACGTCTACAGTGACACCCGTGTATCTCATTTATCACGAGGTTTCCAGCTCTTTTAAGGAAAAGCAAGCAAAGTTAAGAACCCCCCCCCCCAATTCATAAATAATAAGATTAGTCTGCATAATAAAAATTTGGATAAATAAAAAACATTCAGATAAAAGATATAATAAAGTTTTTTTTACAAAACAATAAGAGGTAAATTCTCTCCTCAAAAGAGATACTGTATAGTCCTGAAACAACCCGCCACTCAAATGCCCTCTAACCTATAAAACCACCTTAAGAATTAACATAAAACATACAGTCTGAATATTTCAGTATTCAGACTGAAAGAATGCTTTTTGTAAAACAAAGATGAGGTTGTAATAGGTCTAATGACTGAATCCTGAGCTACACTGCTCACTGGTTTAGCAGCGACCCCTGCATAACATTCATTCAGGACAAATAAACCAATGAGGAGTGATGACACTGACACAGAAAGAGAAAACACAGTGTAAGACTAATCAACCCATATACAGCTGGTAAAATAAGTTCTGAACGTGTCGCCAATTTTTGAAGTAAATCTATTTCTAAAGGTGCTATCGGCATGAAATCCTCACCAGATGTCAGTAACAACCCACCCAATCCACACATGCAAATAAATCAAACCACAGATGACAATAAATCAAGTTAATAATAAATTAAGTGTAATAATGAGAAATGACACAGGGAAAAAGTAGATGCAAAAGGCAAAAGTCATGACATCAGCTGAAATCAGTCATTAGTAATTTGCCACTTAGTGCAAATGAATATCAGCTGGTTCAGTTCTAACTGATGGCCTATAAAATGTGTCTCATTACCAAGCTGTCATACAAGAAACATCTTATGATGGGTAAAACCAATGAGATCTGTCAAGACCTTCACATGCTTGTTGCTGCTAAACATACTGATGGGATTGTTACAGAAGAATTTTTAAACTACTGACGGTTCCAGTGAGCACTGTTGGGGCCATAATCGTGAAGTGGAAAGGACATAATTTCACCACAAACCAGTCACAACCAGTGGCTCTTTGCAAGACTCCAGATAGAGGAGCGAAAAGGATGATCAGAAGAGTTCTCCAAGATCTGCAAGAAGACCTGAAATCAGCAGGTACAATGTGGATGCACTCATCCATGATGGCCTGTATGCATCCTTTTTTTTTTTTTTTTTTTTTTTTAAACAAAGTATTAAATCAATTTCAGTAACTGTGTTCAGCACTTTTTCCCTGTGTAATTTCTCATTATAACACAAAACATAATTTGTGGACATCTATTGTTTGATATGGTATAGTTTTACTGTCATCTGGTGAGGATGTCAGCAGCACCTTTAGAAATATATTTACTCAGAAAACTGATGCTTTCTGTACTTATTTTACTCGCTGCGGAGGGTAAAGAGTTACAGATGAAAGAGCTGAGCAAGGCACCGAAGTCATTACCACAAAGGACCTTCGGTTGTTTCTTTTAAAGCTTCTACTCTGTTTTTCTCAGACAGTAACATTTCAGTCCACTTGTCCACTGGCGTTTTCTTACTGATGGACTTTAAAGTGCTCATTTTTTCGTGTCCCTGTGAAGACTTTGCAGCATTCAAATGACATACAGAGGGGAAGATGAAGCTTTTGTTTGTCTTTGGTCCGCTCGTTTAGTGCCAGTCCGCTTCATAGCGTGCTCTCCTCTGAGTTGCCGCCGACTATAAAGAGAACCGAGGGATCTTTGCTGGAACTCTCTGCTCTGCGTTTCGACCCACGAGATTTGCCTGATTCTCCCTGAACACCGCTGTTACTGCCGTCTGATTCAGTGCTGGCCCTGCGGCTCACCGTAGCCACCTCCCGGGCCATTTCCTCTGGATGTGGTAGTGCGCGCATTGCCACAGAGCCAGATTTGCCTTTGCTAGATTTTTCTTTTTTCGGCTTACCCGCCTTTGACTTGCTGTTAGATGATTTCCCAGGCAGGTGTGGACTTTTGCTTGGTTGAGGAGGAACGATTGGTGGTTGTGGTTTATTGACGGGAGGATTAACTCTGTGCTCGGGTGCGTTTGGCTGTGCTGTCCCGTTACTGACGACCACATCTGTGAGGCAGTCGTCATCAGTCTGATCCTTGGCAAAGTTGACAAACACCTACAAAAGGTAAGGGGCTTTAGTATCACTGAGACTTATTCTTTCTTTACTGACCCAAGTCTTGTTTAATTGTGACCAAACTTTAAAGTGGGATTTGGCAGATCGGGTATCGCAGCGCCACATGTGGAGAAAATCACTAAGAAAGAATCACTTGGCTCCACTTACATGGGATCATAGGCCATGAGACTTACAGCACCCATTTTGCAGAAATAGTCATTTTCCAAAACACTAAAGAGGTTTTTAAACCTTCATCACAGCCCTTACCTGGTCCAGCGTGGTCTGTGAAATGGAGAAATCAACGATGCCCAGCTCCTCGTAGTTGTTTGCCAGCACGTCGAAGACGCGAGCGAGGCAGCAGGCGTGCGAAGGTAGCTGGTACTGCAGCACATTCTGGTGCCGCTCCTTCAGCTCAATACTAGGAAAACACTCCTTCATGTAGGCGCTGACGGGACACGAGTCGGGGTCCGATTTGGTGTCTGCCAAACGAAGGATGATGGTGTATCCATCACCAAACCTGAAAGACGGGAAGGAACGAAGTACGTGATTCACGACTGTTACATGAGAAAAACTTCTCAGATCCTGACCTCTTCACGAATTTGTTCGCCTTCCGTTTGGAAAGGGTCAAGGCTATTTGCTGTACTTTTTTCAGTATTAAGTCAGAACTGGGGGTGAAATGCAAAACACTACAGGATGCACTTTCAGCCTGTCTAATGTAGACAACACACCAGACATTAAATCGGGGAGAAGTGCAGCGTTTCGTAGAGGTAAGTGGATATTGTTTAGCTGGTATCGGATCGTATGCCTATATTTGCTGTATCGCACAGCACTAGCGTTTGCTTACCTGTTCTTCAGGTGCTGCACAGACCCAAGACACCGAAACCTGCCGTTGACCATGATGGCCATCCTGGTGCAAAGTGCCTCGCACTCCTCCATGCTGACAATACAAACATTTAGAGACGGCAGTAAATATTTTGCCTTTACAATACAAAACTCCATCGGGAATGAATTAAAGCTGAACCGACTGGTACCTGTGTGAGGTTAGCACTACAGCTCTTCCCTCTTTGGTGACACTGAGAATGCAGTTCCACAAAAATCTTTTGGCTTTTGGGTCCATCCCAGTGGTAGGCTCATCCTGACAAAAGGTGGTGGGGGAGCATAGAGGAGATACGGAGTGAGATATAAGTTAGGAATATTTTAAGGATGAAGGTCATTCAATAATAACCGCATCATCTTTTCTATTAAGCTGAATCATCACCAGGAATATGACAGGTGGAGACCCGATGAGGGAGATGGCTGTGGAGAGCTTCCTCTTGTTGCCCCCGCTGTAGCCTCCAGCCTCCTGATCGGCATACTGAGTAAGCCCCAGCTTCTTCACACCCCACTGTGCCACCTAGAGAACAGCAGAGAAACTGCTGACTGTAGCCAAACTTGATACTTCACCTCTTGAAATAACATTTAAAGATGACAAAACCTAGATTTTTACAATGGCCACATATTTAGCTAAATAAAAACACCAACTCTTCAGCATATCTTCCTTCATAAAACTTTAGCTTGGGAATTTTACACCACCTTAGAGACGAACTCCTCTGGCACCCCCCGCAGGCGGGCGTACAGCTCCAGATGTTCCCGACCTGTGAGCAGGTCGCTGATGGCATCAAACTGTGGGCAGTAACCCATCAGCTGGTGGACCCGCTCCATTTCTGTCAGCACACTGAGAGCAGAGAAATAGCTGATGCAATATCTGTGGTTTGGTACAATAGTAGTTCTGTAGGGGCTGAAGTCACTGCAGCAGACACGCTTTGTACCTGTGCTGGCTGAGGAAAGCCTCTCCATGAGTGACAGGTGTATCTCCAGTTAGCATTCGAAATGTTGACGTCTTCCCAGCTCCGTTGACCCCAAGCAGCCCAAAACACTGGACGGCAGAGACATAAGAGCAGTATGCTACAAAAATCTCTATTTATATACACACAGCTCAGTTATTAAGTCATAAGATAACAGAAGCTTTTACTAGCAGAAGCAACTATAGAAAAAGTAGGTCCATTGCTAGTAACGATGGTATTTTTAGATACTGCAGCACTACACTGTGTTCACTGCATCATTCCATGTTTGGCACTGATCACCACCTGCACTCATGTATATATCTATCTACTTAGCACTTTTAATTCTTATTCTTATTTTTTATTTTCATGTCTATTTAAGCGTAATTTATGACTGTTTGTTTGCACTGAAGCACCGCAGCAATTTCCTAATGTTGTAAACCCGCTCAACATTTGGCAATAAAACCCTTTCTGATTCTGACTACATGTGAAAGTATAAATAGCAGTTACAGTGGTGAAAAGCAGTACCTCAAGTTGCATTTACAATATCATAAAACAGTCCCTGTGATAATGTGGCTGTAACTACATGGATAAAGAACACAGAGCTGACAGCCAAAGGGGTGTGTGTGTGTGTGTGTCTTCACAATCACTGGTGCGCAGATCCCTCACCTCGCTGCGAGGAATCCCGAGGCAAAGACGGTCTACGGCTGGCTTTCTGCCGGCTTTATAAACCTGAACAACAAGAAGCTTATTTGTTACACTTTTAAGCTGAAATTCACAACTGTGTCAGTGTAGGAGGAGGACAGCTCATCAGTGAGAGTCTCTCGAATGAGAAACATTTAGCTGCAGTA